CTTGGGGGTGCTGGTGGCTGAGAGGCTGGACATGACCCAGCCATGGGCACTCACAGCCCAGAGAGCCAAACGTGTCCTGGGCTGCATCCAAAGCAGCGTGGGCAGCAGGGCCAGGGAGGGGATTCTGCCCCTCTGCTCTGCTCTGCTGAGAGCCCACCTGGAACTCTGCATCCAGCTCTGGGGTCCCAGCACAGGAAAGACATGGACCTGTTGGAGAGAGTCCAGGAGAGGCCACTAGGTTGATCAGAGGGATGGAGCACCTCTCCTGTGAGGAAAGGCTGAGAGAATTGTGACTGTTCATCCTGAAGAAGAGAAGGATTTGGGGTGACCTAATCACAGCCTTCCAGTACCTGAAGGGAGCCTACAAGAAAGATGGAGAGAGACTATTTACAAGAGCATGTACTGACAGGACAAGGGGGAATGGATTCAGACTGAAAGAGAGCAGGTTTAGATTGGATATTAATAAAAAATCCTTTACTGAGGGTGCTGAAGCACTGGAACATGAGATGTTGCGAATGCCCCATCCCTGTGGAAGTTTTCAAGGCCAGGCTGGATGGAACTCTGAGCAAGCCAATCTAGTGAAAGATGTCCCTGTCCATGGCAGGGGGGCTGGAAGTAGATGATGTTTAAGGTCCCTTCCAACCTGGACCATGTTTTCTATCCTTTCTCAGCATTGTTTCTGAAAGTTAGTATATATTTCAAAATTAGTGTATAGTAATTACTATGTTACTGTTATTATTACTGTTAGTAGTTACTAAATTACTCTGGCAGTTGAGGCTGTGCAGATCTGTGTAGTGAATCAGAAACAAAAGACAAACTTTGTGCAATGAAACTGCTAAAATTGTTCCCAATATAGGAGAAAAGTTAGGATCAAGGACAGTTAGCTAAAAGTGTGCTCTTTTCCTGCACATAAGACCTTTCAGCTTAACTTCAGAAGGAAAAAAAGATGTTCTTTCACATATGTTATATTACATATTTAATTTATATGCTTATGTACACAATTGTATGTAATTATACGTTATATATTTTCTTCTCTATACAATGATATATATTGTATGTATGATATTGAATATATGTTATTGCAATGGTACATAATGTTGTTATTTTTGTTCATGCTGCCTTTCTATATCCTCCACACTCAGTATTTACTCATCTCCTAACTTTAGGGAATTAAATTTCTAGGTGAGTTTTTCAGTGTTGCATATTGTTACAGTTATGACTTTCAGAATTCGTCTAGATAATTTGCAACTTTCTAGATAAAGTGCAACTTTTGGAGGAGTAATCATGTCTTTTCAAAGACTTTTGTATTTAGATTGTTGATATAGTTAAACAGCAATTTTCAAAAAGAGAAAATAAATTTAAAGTAGGAAAAAGGGAGATAATGAATAACAAGAAGAGAAAAAGGAGAGCAAAGGTTTTCTGTACATATCTGACAGTGAAAGAAACAACAATCTTTTGAGAACACAAACCAAGCCAGTAGTAGATAAATAAAAAAAAAATCAATTTCCACTGAAAAAGTCCTGCTTTGCATTCAGTCATTGTTACATGGATGTGGAGCTTCCAAGGCTACGAAAAGGAGTGCTAATACATGGAATGGAGGGAATCACCAGATTCTGCAGGGAGACAAGAACTGAATCTATGTCTATGCCCCAGATCTTGTCCAACCGAAGATTTCTAAAACAAGGTATATTCAGCACTTTTTCCCTCCTTAGTCCATAAAATATTTTCTACTTCCATCTTGGCCAAGTTTCCTCTTTCCTTTCAGGTTTTTTGAAGCATATTTTCTTACCATTGCTTCAGTTTCCAGTGCCCAGTTCATGTTGCAAGAGGTTTTGAACAATTGAGGATTACCAGAAAAACTTCTGTCTTCAATCCAAGTTTCATACCTTTTTGGATCTCTTGGTGTGAAAACAATGACTCTTTTCTTTTTAACTTGATGTGCTTTTAGGTTGCCCTGAAGTAGACATTGAGATTCTGCCAGTTTGTCACATTTAGTGTGTGTTGAAGGGTCAAGTCCTCTTACAGTATAATGCAAATAATAAGGAGCACTGGGCACTTATGCAACTATGAACTTCCAATAAAAATATGATAAAGCTATCTAATAATGGCAGAATGAAATAAATATTTCCTCCATGCTTTAAGCAGATTTATGAGCTCTTCCAATACAGCTTTGCTTGATGAACCTTGCCACCTAGAAACAAAGGATTCTCTCAGGCTTCTGGACAAAAGCTATACAGAGCTGCCCTGTCAGCAGCTTTTTAAACCTGTCAAATATTTCTGGAAATTTTGTTTTTTTCCTTTTTTGCACTTAGCATTCAACCCCACTGGCATTCTGCAGAACAGAGGAAAATAATTTTTAGTTATTTTGTTTTGGAATCAGACAGCTATTTAAAGTCAGCTTGGAAGCAGGCTTTAAAAGGCTAGATAGGGGAGTTAAAAAAAAAAAGAGAAAGGACAATGTGAAGTGGTTCCTTTAACACATCCTTACTAGGCAGTAAGTGATAATGTGGAAGAACACCAATCAAGTAGGATACCTTCCAGACATCCTCATAAAGTCAAGAGAAAACATCTGCTGCCCACCCACTAACAGGGTAGAGTGCACAGCCCCTTTTTGTCTCCAGATGCCTCTAAGAAAGATAACATTGGTTATAGTCTGAGACTGAGAAATGCTTGTACTGTTGAATCAGATTAAAAAATTAAATTACACATTAACAAAAAAATTTGCAATAGCATATGGCCTAGAAAGATACAGGAAGAAAACAGTGAGAACAAAAAGCGCTTAAACAAATTCAGCAAAATGATGACTGGTGAAGAAGACATCATTTGCCAAAGTGACAGAATTGGGTCTGTTTGGGACTGTTCTCTCCAGAGACATCTGGTATCTCACCAAATTACTTTATGTTTTTGAAGCTCTAAAACAGTAAAGGGAACTGCCTTTGACTACAAAAGAAAGTAGTGATTATAGTTGCAAATGCAATACATAGGATATATTCCAAAATAAATGAGATCTTTACCAAAGAGAAAACATAAAACAACAATAAAAATTATGTGGCACATAATTTTCTTCTCCCTGTTCACTGGGCCCTGCCGAGGCTTTGGGTGATGGCTGGCATTCCAGGACTGTGCCCTTTGTTAGGCAGGAGGTCTAAAAGCTCATTGTGCCTTCAAAGCTCATTGTTTGGGGCTGCAGCTGTTTCCCACCAGCCAGGGTACCACCTGCAGCTTGCGCTCCAGGCTACCTGCTCTAGGTGTGTTCTGCAACAAGTCTGTGGGCTTCTTGCAAGGCCCACATGTGGGAGACGGGAATGCAGAAGGAGACATCATCACAAGTACCAGAAAAAGCCTGTGTTTAGGGCCTACTCAATTATTGATATACACAGAACACTTTTGATAATCCTCCCTTTTGGAAGGTGTACCAAAAGCTCTGTGTCATGTATACCAAAATTCTGTGTAGCAAAAAGCCCCCAACCCAATCCAAACAAAAACAAACAAACAAACAAACAAACCCAAAAAACAAAAAACCAAACAAAACCACCCCCCCACCTACAAGCTAACAAAACCAAAACCAACCAACCAACCAAAAAAACCCAATCCCCCTAAAAACCCCACGCAAACCTAAATCAAACAAAAAAAATAGAGTTGCAAATAGAAAGCAAATCTAAAGCACTGAATCAAATGCTGAGGAAATGGACACTTAACATTATTTTTTTAAGAAAACCAAGGTTGGTAGAGAGCAACTTGAAGCAGTTTCTCAGCAAGGTTTTTGAATTTCAATTTTGGAAATATCTGTGTAACTAAGTAGCATGAAAAATAAACCTTTAAAAGTAAAGATTCTTGAAAATATATTAATTTAATTTTGCTTGAGTTTAGTCTGTGACACCAAGAGTTATGGCAAGCACAGGAAATATTTTGTCAGACAATTATGGAAACATTGGTTTTGCCATTCCATTGATAATGGTCCTGTGTTTCCTGTCTTTTACCTTGAATTCCTCAAATATCACAGTGAAACATTTGTACAGATGGTGATGTCAGACTTAACTGAAATAAGTCTTGTTCTGGTACACTTGATAGCTATTAAGGTGCTTCAGTTGCTTCTGATGTCAGTCAGAGACAGCAAGTAACATTGCATCTGCGTAAACACAGTGTCCTCTGAATGTCCTAGATGCCTGTCTAGTTTCTGTGGAAAGCTCTCTAGAGCTTGCTCACCTTAAGAGTTTAAATCCTGCTGCCTACGAGCAGATTACAAGCATAATTTTCTAAATAACCAAATTGCTCTTAGTCATCAACGTACAGTAATAATTTTTCCTAATTAGCTGGTGTCCCTACCCTAGAACTTGCAGTTCTAGGAGCAGCACCTGGACTCCATTTTGAGTTATTCAGTCCTAAATGTCACACCGTATAATGCACTGTACTGAATGTTAATGAAAACTATGTGTGACCTAGCAACCTAATGGGAAACACAGATGTGAAATACGAATTTGTTACCCTGTTGGACGGCTCAGGCTACCTGTCTGTGGCTACTGCTGGATATCAAAACGTTTCCCTACCTGTGGAGCTCCTACATCACGTGCCTTGCTGACGGAAAGCTGAAGCAGTGCCTGCTTTCTTCTAGCACTGCGTCGTTGGCTTTTGGTTTGTTTTTGGTTTTTTTTTTTTGGGGGGGGGGGTTTGTTTGGGTTTTTGGGGTTTTTTTCCCCCGTCTTTGTTTCTGTTTTTTGTTTGTTTGTTTTTCTTCGGGAAAGGGAAGCGGTACTCTCTTGCGCGGTACTGTTGCTACGTAACACCCCCGCCGTCGCGACGGCCGGGCGCGGCCATTTTGAACGCGGGCGGGAGGGCGGCGGGGCGGCGGCCAATCGGGGGCCAGTCTCGCGCGCCACGCGGCGGCCGCTGCAACGGCGCCGGGCCCAGGCCCGGGGTGCGGGAACAGCGGTCACTGGCGTGTAACGCCGGGTAACGCCGCACAGTGCCGGGTGACGGCGGGTAACGCTGCGTAGTGCCGGGTGACGGCGGGTAACGGCGCGCAGTGCCGCGCAGTGCCGGGTGACGGCGGGTAACGGTGCGCAGTGCCGGTTAGCGGCGCCTGACAACGGTAACGGCGGGCCCGCGGCGCAGAGGCGGAGCGGGGTGCCCGTGGAGCGAGCCGTAGTCGGTTCCGGGAAGATGGGGCTGTCAGGGCCGGGGGTGGCGGGGCCGTTGTGGGCGTGGGAGCGACCGGCTGATGTCTGTTCCTGGCCGCCTCCGGCGAGAGCCCTCGAGTTGGTGGCGGACAGCCCAGCCCCCTGTTGATGCCCGCTCAGTGGTGTGCGGAATGAAGTGATTCCCTGAATCGGTGTCGGTGTTGAGTCGGTGTAGCATAAAAGCCCCTCTGTTATTACCCCGGTGCTAACCGGAGCTGTCTGTAGCTGGATGCTGAGTTACATCCTTAAACGCAGTTGTGCACCCGGTCCAGTGAAGGGTGCCTAGCCCCGGCAGGCCCCCAGGCCGCGCTTGGCAAGGCGCGCCCCCGTAGGGTGAGCGCGGCTCGGCCTCCCCGTGTGCCCCGCAGGTCGGCATTGGCCGTGGCTGCTGCTGGCAGTGCTCCTGGGTGCCGTCTGTTTGCCCACCCGATATACATTTAGCCAGCTGGTTATTTTAATCCTTACAAACTCACAGGTTCCAGAAAACTCCTAACATGGAGTTGGATTTTTCAGTTGTACTGTGTGCTGTATATTTCTCGTAATTTGTTGCCAGCTTGTGTGATTTCTTGGATCCGTATTGAGTAGATAAGTATCGTCTGTATACATTCTCAGAGCCACTCAAGTCAAAGGTGGTATGGTATCAGGTTGGTTGCACCTTCAGTGCAGAAGACTTCGAATTTATATAGTTTTCCATTTGGAAAGCTTTTGGGTCTGATTAGTTTGGTTTTTTTTGTCGCTTCCTACAAGTGGATTAAACTTCAGTGGTAGGGCCAGGAGCTCCTTTCTTCAGTTAGAGGTGTGGTGTTAAGGTGTTGCAGTGAAAGCCTCCATGAGAAGAATATTGCTTAAGCTCTGGAGAAATATTTTGCACATTTATACATTACCAGAAGCCATTGATGTCTTAAAACTGATGGTCATTTTCTGAACCCAAAGTGTAAGATTGTAATTCAGTAATTTCTGACACTGTGGCCACGGTGTGGTCATGAAATGCTAGTAAATCAGAGCTAAAAAAAAGTAAAAGGGTGTAGAGGAACTGTATTATTAGAATTACTATATTTCCAGTCATTTAGATGCTAACAATATATTATTTTTCTAAGTTATGCTTTTACAAATGGCTGTCCTCACATGTCCAGTATAACATGTCTTAATTTGACATACAGAATATTTGAGAAGATTGGTTAAAGCTTTCTAGTCTGTGACAAATAAGAAAAAAAGTTTGCAATGTGAACAGTGTTTGATATCCTGTGTGGAATACTTAATGTTGTCCTGAGTATAAATAAATAAATAAATAAATAAATGTATCTTCTAAATATACTGACAAGTGTCCCTATTGAGACAGTAGAATTACTTAACTCTTAATAGCTATGTCATAGCAGTATTTAGAGATTCTGTTTGGAAGTTAGTTGTGTTATTCTCTGTGGGTACTAAAGTATAACAAAACCTTATGCCTGAAAAGTGCTTAGTGAATTTTACTGGGATATGTATATCTGGTATGCAATAGTAAAAATATTTAGGAAATCAAATTTTATTATGTATGATGATAATTTAGAGTTTTAACTGAAGTAGCAGAGAAGTTCACAACTGGCTCTGTATGTTTCCCTTGATGGTGGGTCAGGGAGTGCCCAAGGCTTTTGGGCAGACCTTGATGCTACTAAGTTAAATCTTAAGATGAAAACAAGATCTCTACAAAAGTCAGTGCTTAAAGATCTGGGCTTCTGTGTTCTTGTTATACCTGTTAGAGTGAGGAGAATAAAGATGCAGATGAGTTGTTTTTTGGTGTTTGGGGTTTTTTTCCCCAGCCCTTTACTCATGCAACTTTACTTGCACAGGTAGTAAGCATCATAAGACATAAGGTTTTTAGCTACGTATTAAAGATGAGTAAATGCTATAGAATATCCAGGAACATTTTCATGTTTTGGATATGTGTGTTGAATTGGCACTGTAATGCAAGATAGTTATATATTGAAAAAAAGTTTCTGTCTTTTTTCCTCTTTCTTATTTTAGAGAGAAATTTATCACATAAAAGAAATGATTGAGTCAGTCAAATTAAGAAGACAGTGCATGCTGGATTTCTTCTCACATTATGAACATCTTTGTGAACTTCAAGGCTCTCTCCCTCTGAAAGCTGTGAAGGCTAACATGACTCGTGATGCTATTGATCTGATTGTGGATCACATCAAAGCTACTGATTGGGCACCACTTCTGAATGCTCTCAGGCATAATAAGACTTTGGCTTCTATTAGAATAAGAAGTTTACATCAACATGGTCTTGAAGAATCAGGTCTGTATAAAAGATAAGTATGTTGATGTATGCATGTTAAAACTTGTTGCATAAAACTTCTCCGTGATTGAATACATGGGGGGAGGAATTCTTATGCCTAAGGAATTACTATAATTTAAGAAAGTACAAAAAACAAGGAGGGTATGATTATAATTGCTTTTAAGCCAATACAGACTGGATTTTACTGATGTGTAGTTTTTATTTTTCACTAGGTGTTGAAAGATACAAAACTTACTTTAGAAGGAGAATTCCAGCAACTCTGTCAAAAGACTTGACTGGCCAACTATGCAAAGCTGTGAAAGGCTGTCTCAGTATATCAGATGTACTAAAACATTTAGAACTGCAGGGTTTGCTTCTGAGGGAAGGAGACCTAGCACTTTTAACAAAGGTGAGAATATAATAGTATGTACAAATACATAGTACATATAGTACAAAATATACAAATTGCCCAGAACAGAGAATAGTAGCAACTAATCTTTGCATATTTGTTGCAGACAAACATACATGCAACAAATACATGCAAAGATATCTTGTGTAGTCTTTACGTATACATAAAGAATGATTCTGCTGAGACTTTTAGCATAACCTGGTCTTAACTGAATGTCTCAGAAGCACAAGGCTTACTAGAAAGATCTTAGCAACATCTCTGCCGTGTGCTTGAGGCGTACGACATAGGCTTACAACTGAAACCATTGTGCATGTATGTGGTAGAAGGGAAGTTGTGGGACACCAAGGAGATAAAAATTGATCCTCAGATGTGTTACTGGAAAGCTCCAGTTTGCACATGACTGGCTTCTAGGGGGGAGGTTGCTGCTGGTTGCCCACAGGCAAGCTTCCTCTGCAAGCTAAAGAAATGAACCCGCTTAAACTGAAGGTGAAGGTTTGCTGGTTTTGACCTTTGTTTGAATCCCCTAGAGTTTCTTGTAAGGAACAGAGAATGAGTGGTTTGGTCTTTTTCTTTTTCTTTTTCTTTTTCTTTTTCTTTTTCTTTTTCTTTTTCTTTTTCTTTTTCTTTTTCTTTTTCTTTTTCTTTTTCTTTTTGCTTTTCAACACATAACAACATTGTTTGTTTTATTCTTTAGGGCTTGGCCACAGCTTCATCTCTGGAGAGTGTCTCTTTAGCCCACTGTCCAATTGGAGATGGAGGGTTGGAAAGTAAGTTCAGAATCAAAACCTGTAAATATACTTTTCTCTTTTAAGTTTCCAAATAGGTACGCAAGTTTTTCAGTATTTCCATTCCCGTTTTAAATTTGTCTATGGAGATTATAAGAACAATCTTTACTTTATTCTGCATAACTCAGTAGCATTTAAAGACTTGAATTTCTTCACTTCAGGCTAGTAAATATATATACTACTTTATAGTGATGTTTATACTTTTATCTAAAACAGCATTTGTATTTCTTTACCCTTTCCTGATTTGTTTAAGCTTCCATAAGTAAACTGAAATGAAATATTTTCTAACTTTTTCAGATATTCTTTGCTGAACATTTGCACTAGAAATGTATGAATTTAGAACACATTAATTGTATTGAAAATACACTCTGTATTTCAGCACTAGTTCTTTGTCAAAGCTTTTGGCTCTTAAAGCTGCCTCTTAATAGGCCACTGAAAAAGCATGTTCTGATAATGTGGAAATGCTGTGTGTAGATAACATGTGTACTTTTCTTTTCTTCAGCAATCTGTCAGAGTATAAAGAATACAGCTACTATCAGATTTCTTAACTTCACAGCATGTAGCCTCACGTGGCGAGGGGCAGAACATATAGCAAATTTATTAAAGGTAATTTAATGAACTGTCTTAGAATGGAGTGTTTGTAAGAACTTAATAAATTTAATTTTTTACTTCTGCTTTAAAGCCCAAAATCAGTTAAGGCACTTCGTGAGGAGCTTGTGTGAATGCCAAAATTAAGTGTATGTTCTTACGAAAGGTGTGACTTTGTATGACAAAAGTAGTTTAGTTTACTGGTGTAAAATTTAATTTTGCTATTTCTTAGAAAAAAACATAAATAATAAAGCATTTTCTTTAAATAAGGACTAGGTCTGTAAACATGACACCTGTTTTCAGGGTGCTTCTTTCATTGTCAATCATTTTGAAAAATGTCTCAAGTATTCTGAAGCACTGGGTAAGAATAATCAAGTTTACAGTTTAGAAGCTGCTGATTAAATGATCAGGAGATTTCTGCCTAGTACTGTGTTTTAATTAGTGTTAATTGTGATTTCTGTGAAAGCACAAAATTGTGTATGTATTTATTTCCTATTCAATGTGCCTTGAAAGTGTCTGTCAAAAGAAGGTGATAAAATACTTTGTAGCCAAGTTTAATAATTTGCGTTGCAAACTGAGCAGTCACAACAAATATGACTTACCAGTAAGGTTTAAAAATTAGTTATGTTTCTTGAATTCAGGAATGGTGTACTTACACCAGCATATATTTCTTATACCAACATTCAAGCCATTGAACATGGTTTACAGAAAAAGGTAGCTTGTCATCATGTCCTCAGTTATGGCTTTGCCATTTCACTTGTTAACAGCTTCTTTGTTTGCAAAGCACCAGGCAGTAAGAAGACATGGTCAAGCTTGGGCTGACAGCCTACGTTACAGGAGACCTGACCTTGAATATATGACAGGTTTGAGGCGGATTACTTTGAACTGCAACATGCTTGTTGGAGATAGAGGAGCAAGTGCCTTTGCAGACTGTCTAGGAGAGGACCTTTGGCTAAAAGGTATTACTAAGTCTTTTACTAATGAGCAGCAGAGTAATTCAGGAGTTTCCTTACATAGTAACTACAGACACACTAATGTATATGTACTGAGATATTCCATATGATGTAGAACTTGGCCTATACCAGAAAATTCCTGATATACCTCATATCTGCTTGTTACTAGTTGCTGTAAGGATTTCAGCAGGATCTCCATATCTCTTTATCTCTACTAATATGTTTTCTACTATCTCTATGTCTCACTACTGCATCTCTTAAAATACAGTAGTGGCAGGCAGAAGACTTAAAATTATCGGTTATAACAGTTGCAGCCAGAGGAGTAACTTACTGTGTAGCTTGGGAAGAGTACTGTTTTTTTTCCAAAGAAATCTCTCTTCCTCTTTTGAAGTATCTGAATACTGTTGTTTTATTTAGTATTGTCCTTCAGTATCTTTGAGAATGAATTTGTTCTGCAGTATATGTATTGCTATACCTAGTAATTATACAAAATTACTAATAGTGCTGGTGTAAATCATAGCATTCTGTGTGTGGAATAAAATACCTGTTTTATAGTTTTGTTTTCTAGTTTGAGGCAGGTCTACAGATAACATCCATCCTGATGGAAGAGGATCAGATTAGAGAATACTTACACTGGACAAACAGCCATCCATAGGCCCTAATGGGATGCGTTCACAAGTGCTGAGGGAGCTGGCTGATGTAATTTTGAGGTCACTCTCAGTAGCCTTTGAAAGATCATGGTGATTGGGAGAGTGTGCCTGAGGACTGGAGGAGGATAGCTAATGTCTTGCCTATTTTCAAGAAGTCTGGAAAGAAGGACTCAGGAAACTACAGTCTTTCTTGGATCCCTAGAAAGGCAAGGATGTGCTGCCATCTAGAGGGACCTCAGCTGGCTGGATCAATCAGCTGATGGGAACTTCATGGTGTTTAAGAAAAGGAAGTGCAAAGTCCCGCACTTGGACAGGAATAATATGTGCACTAGAACATGCAGGGGCTGTGTGGCTGAAAAGCAGCTTTGCAAAAAGGGTGCTGCAGATCCTGGTGGACAATGAGCTGTCCATGAAACAGTGATGGAAAAGAGGGCCATTAGTGTTTGGGGTGCATTAAGCAAAGACTTTTTGAGCAGGTTGAGGGAGGTGATTCTTCCTCTTTACTCAGCACGAGTGAGGCCATGGAATGTGCAGTGCGGGAGGGAACTGGAGCTACTGGAGAGGGTCTAGTGAATTGCCTCTAAGATGAAGGGACTAAACCAGCTCCAATTTCAGAAAAGGCTGAGAAAGCTAGGACTCTGGCTTGGAGAAGAGAAGGCTCAGAGTGGAATCAAGGTGTACAAATATCTGAAAGGAGGATGTAAAGGAAATGGAGACAGACTCTTTCCAGTGGTACCTGTGGACAAGGCAAGATGGAGTGGGTAGAGATGAAAACACTGGAGGTTTCTCCAACATGATGAAACCCTCTTACTTTGAGCATGACTGAACACTGCCACAGGTTGCCCACAGTGGTTATAGAGTGGTTCATATTACCTCCTCTGCAGATATTAACAGCTGTTTCTTAATTTTGAAAAGTTCTAGTTGTGTTCTTTGAAAGCAATACTCCTGTTTTTACACTTTTTTGATGACTGTTATCATCATGTCCTCAGTTCTCATGCTTCATTTTCTATGAAATGGAGGTTTTCAGCAGGATTAATTTTTTAGATATTAACTATTAAATTAAATTACTAACTAAATGCTATACTACCTCCACTGATTTTTTTTTTGCCTCCTTAAACATTTTAGCACTTGATTTGCAGCAGTGCGGAATATCCAATGAAGGAGCAAGGTCATTATTAGATGCTCTTCAAACTAACACAACATTAGTGGTACTTGACGTAAGAAAAAATCCATTAATTGGTATGTATCTGTGTCTGTATTTATTCTCTTTGTGTGGTTGTTGGGGTTTTTTTTCTTCTTCAGTAGCTATCTGGGGAAAGGTAAACTGCTTTTAAGAAAAAAAGAACATGCCACGATAATTTGCTAAACATTTTTAACATAGGAAAACAACCAGGATAGGTAATATCTACTTACTAGTCAATGATCTGTTTGTTCACAAAAAGAATTGTCTCTTACAGAAAATTCTTAAAAAGGTGTTTTAATTCATTCTAGGTCATAGTCTGATGAAAAAGATAATTGAAAGAGTTCTCAAGAATGGAAGCAGTGCTGACTCAGAGGTGTGTTTTACACATTTTGGAGTGAGTTTGGGATTTTCTTTTTAGCTTCTATTGCATTTATTTTTTTTAAAGGATGACTTTTTTCAGAATGAATCTAAAACAGCTATTCTGGTTCTAAACAGAAGTTTGACTCAGTACAAATGAAAAAAACCACTATCTAGGGGGAAACCTAAAACCACTATAATGAACATGTTACTGTATTTCTTTCCATGTATGATTTCTTATGGAGTTAAAGCTGTCACATGTAATAAAACCTGGATATCCATTAAATGGAGAGAAAAATGGAAATGTGTGTGTATTTGGGCATTACCATAGAATATTAATTAAATATTAATTTAATATTAAATTAAATAGTCCCTCCAGGACTGCTGGAGGGCTTTCTACTACATATGTCCTTGTCAACATGGTAATAATAACTTCTAACTAAAAAGTAAAGGAAACCACAATTTGGAATTTAGCACTTAATTTATTTTAGAACTTATTTCTTGTCTCTAACTTCTGTAACCCAAATTTTTTAAAGTTGCTCAGGCCTGTCCTTTCAATGCAGACCATCTATGAAAACAGAGTTCAGTTAAAGTACATTACCCCCATTCATCTTGGTCTAACTGTCCACAGAGAGTTCACAGTAATGCACATAAACTGAATATCTAGACTGTTTATGATTAGGTATAGTGTTCAAATATACAGAAATGTGATTCAGTTCTCAAAGGAGTCCCAGCAATCCCAGTTCTTGTGTTGGAATTTAATGCTCTTTTGGTTTTTGAAAAGACTAAATAAAGACAGAGCTGTGGATGTGTAGAGACTGTCTTAATAAACTGAAAATTTGTGTACAGAATTTCTGGAGGATTATTACAGTTCCCTACTTCAATCTCTAGAAGACCTTTTTTGAGAAGTTGAGGTTGGTTGTGAAGAAGTACTCTTTCTGCTTGGCAGATGAGATTAAAACTTAAAAAATATCACAGGAATCACGTGAAAATAACATCTGCCTGGAAATGCTAAAGATAATTGGAAAGCCAGACCATGGAAAGAAACAACTCTGGGAAATCTCCCATATACTAAAAGATTACTTGACTCAAGACATTAGTTTTATATTCAACCAGTTACTGTGGTATCTTAAGTTTTATTAGCACTGCTAGTAATTCTTCATACTTCATTAACAACATGGATGAAGAAATTCTTCCATTGGTTTACTACATAGCTTTGCTTCTTCTGCTAGTCACATCTGTCTTTCCTTCCATCCTGCTTTGTGTAAAAAGTGGTTGTTTGTTTTTCAGTATCATGTAGTTGATTCTCTTCTGGACCTTTTTTTTGGGTTTGCAAGAGTAATTGTCTACTCCTAATTGATGCCCTTGCTAAAACAAAAGCTACATATTCTAGCAGCACTGTGTAGTGGTATAGTGAAATCATAGATATGTAATCATAGATATGACCAAGTGTAATAGGTGATGAAAGTTTGTGTAGTTTCTGAGAGACTATAAATAGCTCAAGGGAAAATCCATTGAAGGTGTCTACAAAACAGGATACTTTCAGAGCACTGGTTTTATATTTTGCTGTTTTTATACTTGGATGCTTAGATGGTTTACAACAAGAGCAGAGATGAGACAGGCTATGTGCTAGCTAGATGAACTTTTGGTTTAACCTAGTAAAGCTGCTCTTTTAGGTGTCTAGCTAAACAAAATTAAAATTACTTTTGCTCTTAGAAGCTTGCAAATTAATTTTACACTTTCTGGGTATGTTTTAGTTTAAAATGATCAATTCGCTTGCGCAGGGACCAGACCCACCTGGAGACACAGCAAAATTTATACAAGGTTTAATTGTATCCAATGTGAAAAGAAAAAGATCTTCTTGGCAATGATAAATTTGAATTAAACTTAGAGCACAGTAATGGAATTTTAATCATTCTGATGGTTTAGGTGGGAATAGCTCTGACATACTGTTCCTACTACTCTGATGTGGGATTTAGGGCCATGTGAGACAGGCTTTGTGTTAGTGTCATCTGTATTTTACTGCTCCAGCACTAGACTCTGTATTAGTGATGCACACTGAAAAGTAAGTAATTTTAGCTGAGTAATTTTAGAATATCTGCCAGGAGTAATTAAACTTTTTATCAGGCAAGGGGAGCCTTTAGGAATAGAACTGTTGCTGTAAGGAAGTGAAGTTTGAAGTACAGCTGTGGCCTTTGATCATCACTGTCTTTTAATTTTATTTTGGGGCTTTTACTGTGTAAGGATGAATTTTCATTACAGGCAAATAAAAATAAATTTTGTGTTTTTTAAAATACTAACTTTATCAGCAATACAAAATTGCATTGGGGAAGCTTTTGTTATTCTGGAGAGCTTTGGTCTGAGCCAGTCATTCCTATCAAGCCAGTTGTCTGAGAATGAAGCGCAGAAGCCAGGGTTGCCTCTTTATAGGGTTGATGCTGGGAGATTTTTGCTATAGAAGGAGAATTGTTTTCCACAGGAGAAAGGATAATATTGGATGGGATATTTTAGTGATGTTTTGGGAACACATTCTGGTAATGTAGACTATCATCTGCTTAAATTTGGGCCTTGTGAGACTTCTGTTTTTTCTTGATTTTACATCTTATAAAGTTTCCTGTAAGTACAGTGTTCTCTAGATCTGAAAAACTAATTTTAAATAAGCACCTCTTCAACTGTCAGTTGCTAAACAGATTTTTTTTTCTTTAAAAAATAAACCAAATTCTAGTTTAAGTGGCTGATGTCTCCGTCTTCCAAAGATGCTTTGAAAACTAAGCCAAAGAAAAGAACTATTGTCCTAGGAAGTGGTCGGAAAGGAAAAGCTACTATTCGTATTGGTAATTCTTTGTTTTTTCTGCCTATAGTACATTTTGTCTAGAAAATTTTATCTTAATGCTTAAGAGCTTAAATTAAAAAATAAAATGTATGATGTGTCTAAATGTTAGTGTTTTGCAGAATGTTTGTCTTCAAAAAGAAAAAAAATTGTTTCTTCTTAATGATATAATGCATCTTCTGTTATCATTGGTATCATTGGTAGGAAACTTACTCTTGTTTCTAGTGCTGCTAGATACATGGCTGGAAAAATGGTAGGATATGCTGACTTTAAAATGTGTGGAAGCATTGCATGTATTTATTCTGTGTCTCCACAAGCTTTCAAGCTTGGCAGTAGTAAGTTGTCTAGTTCTCCTGCTGTTGTAGTAACCTTTCTGTAGCAGGCTGTCCTCTGCCAGAACAAGCAAATATGCATTTTTTATCTGATGTACAAAATGTTCTAAGACATTTTTTAACTTCATGTAAACCTATTATAAATAGTAACATAGGTATCTTGAATATTTATAATTAAGTACTCATAGATGTGATAATCAACATTTTTCAGTAAGCTACTAAAAATTTCACTGTAATACATTTCACTGTCTCTTGTCTTCACTCTAGTTATCTGGAAGCAGAGAGGTAAGTGATCTGGGTGGTAACGGGAGGAAAAAATGCCTGACAAATGTGGTTGTGGAGGGTTTTGTGGTTTTTTGTCTTTTTCTCTGTTTTGGGGTTGTTTGTTGTGTGTGGTGTTTTTATGTGCTTTGGGATTGTTTTTTTTAAGAGAAGGACAAAGTCAAGCTGAAAACTATCCTGTTTATTATGTTCAGAATGAATTGAGATTTTGAATCCTATTAACTAAGTGATGCATTTCTATACCATTGCAAAATCAGTTATTGTACTGATCTCAGAAAAACAATAACCTGAGTTCTCACTAGTTTAATTGTAGGAAATATAAGATGATTAGTTTTCAAGACTTACCAGTTTCTGGCTTAGAGAGAATGTGAGGCTCCCCTTGCCCTGATAAAAAGCTTAATTACTCCTGGTAGATATTCTAATGATGATCCATATTAGGTTTCTTTCTGAGTCTACTTTGATGCTGTATGATTTAAACAGCAAAATACCAGACCAGTAAACCCTACTTTTTCTTATTATTGTTCTGAAGGGAAGAGATTGCTGGTGTCTTGTACAAGTGATGTGCATAAGTATCAGCTTTATTTTTAATTATTTTGCCCATAAATAAAATAATGTTGTTTACTCTAAAGCCACTAGAGGGCAATTTGAAACACATAGATGCCTTTACTGTTTGTGTGGATGGTTTAAAACCATCTAAAGCTCTTCTGCTACAAAGCTTTGCCTCCTTTTTTTGAAATCCAGCTTGTCTTGCATCAGCCTAAGAGCAGTTAAGTATACCATCTTATAATCTCAAGGTTTTGGATCAAGCTTTTTTTTTTTTAGCAAAATTAGACTGAATGGCAGATTTCCTACAGTCCTTATTTATCACATAGAAAATTTTATGAACAGTAAGCTGTGAATTCTTATGTGAATAATAAGGTATTATGAATTCTCTTTTCTTCTGGTCTTGCTCTTCAATTCAGGATTATCATCTAAGAAATCTGTAAGTCCTGGGAAAAAAAATTCTACTGTTAGAGAGAGTTACTCACCAAAACCACTACCACCAGGCACAAAGGGCTTCCTTCCTTGGCGGACTGCAGAACGTGCAAGGAGATACAGGTGAGGTTTTCATAGTACAAGAGAAAATACTAAACCATAAAATTTGCATGATAAATGCAGTAGAGAGCAATGTTAGCTTTTTAAAATATGATTTGAAAGTTACACACAGAACGTTGTAACTGTTGTCAGAGTTTTTTCTGTTTATATAAATTTTGAGGATTTTACATAAATTCTTCTCTAGTAAGGATTTAAAATACACAAAAATACATGATAGCCATTCATATGCAGCAAAAAACCCCACCACAACCAAATCTACTTTCTCTGCTTATTCTTTTGTTAATAATGATTTATCAACTGTATCATAGCTGAAGAGGCAAGTTAGCATTCTAAACTTTTAGTATAGTTGGTTTGAGATCCAGTTCATGGTGCTTAGGTATTTTCCTGTCTCTTTTTTCTGCTTCACCCCACTCAATACCAGCATAATTATTGTGATCATCTAAGAGCGGTAAATTAAAATAAAACTGAAAAAAACTTACTCATGAAAGCCGTCTTTTGAAACAATTCTTGTTTGTTTTTGTTTTTTTAATCCATTCCCAAGATCTTGGCCTCTCAAAATGGAGACTACATAACTATTTAAACAAAAAAATTACTTAATGCTATATTGCAACTGTGGTAATTAAGTTTGTTTTTCAAAATGCTGAACACCAAATTCTCCTATTGACTTTAGTTCAAAATAATTAACTAAACAAGATGCCTATTGAAGATATTAATGTTAGCATCCAGTAGTGTTGCTCTAAATCATGATTAACTAGGGAGTACTAATCGAAATAAGAGTGTAATGAGGCTTAAAGGGATGTAGTGCAGTGTTTGATGCTGTTTATTTACTCTTACTGCTTCACCTGTAAGAGTTAATTTTGTGTTCCGAGCATTTTGTGCATTTCTTCCAAATTTTGTGTTCGGAGCATTATAAACTTTCCTCAAAAGTATGGTTTTGATTTTTTTTTTCTGAACTTCAGAGGCAGGGCAGCGGATTGTGCTGGGGAATTGCCATTGAAGATTCAGGTACTGTTTCTCTCACACACTGGTTTTATTTTAGTGGGTAGCTGCCTGAAAAAAGAGGAAAATGTTCTCAAGAGATTCTCATTGTCTGAAAGCTAAGACTGGAACATACTTTTAAAGATTGTCACTCATAGGAGTAAAAAACAAAGTAGTTTACATCAGCCTTTGGTTGAATCTTCTTTGATACTTAGTTTACTTCAATTTCTATCTCTGTATCTTTTGGGTTCTTAGTCTTAGGAGCTGGCTGAGTTGGAGTACAGGCACAATCCCTCCATAGGCAATAGGAATAACCAAGAGCATTTTTCTCTGAACACTTTCTGCACCATCTTTCCTGTCTTGGATTTGGATTATATGCTTATTTTTGTACTTCTTTGTGAGCTGCTCTACCGGGAGAAGAAAAACCCCATCTTTCTTCCTTCTCCTTTGTATCTCATTTCCATCACAGAAGGATCTGATGGCTGCAGAAGCCACCAGTTATCCTCTGCTCTGGTGTAGGCTTCCCATGGACTGCAGTCCTTTGGGAAAACATGGGTATCATAGGATGCCTGTGGGCAGCAGCTCTTTTGACCCATCCCTCTGCTCTGACACAGGTCTTCCCTGGCTGTAATGAGGGTATTGGCTCCACCATGGAACCCCTTTTCCTGCTCCCAGCCTTATGTTCCCTCTGCTTTTTCTCGCTCTTTTTGTTCCCACCTCTTGTGCCTGTCTGGCATTTTATGCCTTGCAAAGGGTCAGCTGAGACTGGCTGTGTCCTGTGTGGGGCAGTCCTGGCTATGCCTTGCAGGGGCTGACTCTGCTGCTAAATCCTCTCCACAAATACTCAACATAGGCACACGTAGGATTGTTTTTTTTTTAATACTGTTTTATGCAAATTTATTTCATAGATGTATGGCTGGGCAATGTGTATACATTGTAAAGGACTCTGGGAAACAACTGTCTTTAAATTAAGCTTTTGATATGATTTAATCTTTGATTTTTGCTAAACATTGTTATGCTATGAGTGGGCATGGTTTTCTTTTCTGGTGTAACTAGACAGCTGTACCTGTGAAAGTGACACTAGAACGTGCTTCTACATCTGAAACTGAAGACACAGAAGATTTAGAGAATGTTGTCCAGCAGACTGGTTTGTCAAAATCATTAGATAAGACTGATGTAGCACAATATCAACAGTTACAGGTAAGAAGCATGTTCAGTGCCTTAGATTCCGTAAAGGTAAATTATATAAATTAAACCACGTTTTATTCAGAAAATTGTAATTAAACAAATAACCAGTTTTGGAGCAGGATTTCAGAATAACTTAATACAGCTGCAGTATGTGTAATTTCTCTCTTGCATCATAGTGCACTGATCTTTTGATCAGTGTTATTTTCTTTCAAGTATTTCCTTTATAAAAGTAACTTAGTGTTATTTCTAAGAGCTAAAATATACAAATAACTGTTGTTTAAAAATAATTACAGAAATAGCTCAAAATGTTTGAATTCCATTTTATAATTGAGCCTAGTAAACTTTTTTCATCTGCTTTTTATTATTCCTTCTACTTTGATACTTAAAAAACTTAGCAGTAGTGAAATGGATTATTTGTGCAAATATCTTGATTGGGAATCTTATTATAAAAGAAAGGGGTGGAGAAAAGGTATGTATCAGTGGCTCTGTAATGCTGCTGAGGTAATCTAGCAGTATTATAAGGTAACACCCTCAGGCAGAATAAATGAGTTAACTGTTTCTAAAGTGTCAAGATTTTAATTCTGTTCAGAGAAAGCAATGATTACTTCTGTAAATAAGATCTACAGTCAGTCTGGATTTGCAGGTTGTTGTCAGAGCACCACGCTGGGTGAATATGCTGTTTGTATGTGTAAATATTGGACTGTATACCTGTCTTTGTGTATGAGGAGTGAAGTTAAGTTAACCTGCTGTAGGTTTATCAGTAGTGGGAATGTTTCGGCTCAGATAGAGTTGTGGAAAGCAAAAGGACTGTACAAATACTGCATGAATAAATCCCAGCCTTTTCAGCTGAGGTACACTTTTTCTTTAGACCTTCTTCTCCCTAGAACTCTTGTTCAGGAAGATTTCTAGGTTTTCACATGTTGCTGGAAATTAGTTTTATAATAACTTTTACTGTTAATGTGCAATGTATTGACATTGTGCTGTGTAGTGGCTTCAACACTTACCAAGAGTACTTTGTCTGAAGTCATAGAATTCTGTGTCATGTGCAAATTGCTCCAAAAACCTGTATGTAGGAACTACTGTGCTTGCAGAAAGCTTTTGATGTATTTATTCTTGCTTTTTGGAGAGGGAAGAATATTTTATTCATAACACACAGCAGAGGCATGCAGTGTTTTGTGCTCTGGGGAAGGGTTGTCATACTGACCACTAGGATGTCATATTGACCATACCACAGCTAACACATTGGTGTTAGCTGTAGTACTACATGTAGGGCAGCTATAAGGAGGAGACAATTTGTGATTAATTTCAACTTCCTTGGAGAGAAACCCACAAATTTTGGCAACCTACTGCAAAGTTTTGATTTTTGTGTGCTTGTAAAGGTCAAGATTTTCATGACTTTCTGAATTTGAAAACCAAAATACTTTTTTAGGCCATGGTTGCTTATCAGATAGCACCAATTAAGCAATCTGCACCTGATTCTGTGCCTCACCCATTATTTTTGTTACATTCACAAAAAGCAGGTTTCACATTATGGCAGAATCAAGCTATCAAATTGGCCCCACTGAATTGTCTCTTTTCCCTCTGTCACTTAGCCTTTTCTTTTCTGGCTTCAGTCTTTTTCTCTTGTGCCTTTTAACATTTGTCTGATCATAAGACTGTCATTCAACAGGTGTTACTGTGCAGTAGCTTGTGAGGGGAGGTGCTTTGAGGAACTGATCCAACTGAAAAGTAGTCCAGTGTATTTGGTGGCAATAGACCTTTCAGTTAATGGGACCACCAGTTGTGTTAGAGCAACGATGGGAATGCAGAGTGGGAATAAACAGTAAGGGGTGGGAGTTCCTTAAACTACTTCCTTGTCAAAAAAAGCTCTCCAGACATCTCTTGATGTGACTGAAGGACCAGACTTTCACTTAAGTACGCAAGTTTTGGAGAACTCCTCTACATCCTTCTGCAGAAAAAGGGGCTTTAGGCATACTACTTAATAAAACTAGTAGCAGTACTTAGTTGTGTTTTCATTTAAAAAAAAAAAAAGACTAGGCTAGTGAAAGCCTAGTATCTGCTTAAATGAAAAATGAGAACTGATAAATATTCTCTTCTTCCACTAGAGGGAATCAAATGTCACAATTGGTTTTGATGAAGTATGTAGTTGAGGTAACTCCCATACTTTTAAATTTTAACTAGGGATTTAAATGGTGAACTTTACCCTAATTAGTTATCAGGGCAACTCTTTCTACATCTCACTACTTTGTGAATTGCAAAGAAGTAGAGATTGCACTGTAACTGTATTTTTTTAAGTATGAGGCAGTCAAATAAAAGAACAGTTACTAAATTTTTTAAAATACAATTTTTTAAACTTCAGTTTTATACCTCTCTCTAGTGTTGAACAGACATACTGCTTATGGTAATTCTAAGGGCTACCTATATTTTTGATACCCAGTTTCATCTTAAAGTCTATCAGTGTTATCTTTCTGGGCTGTAATACTTGAAGGCTTAGTCTTTTAGCTTGGATGTACATTTACCTCTCTGATATCAATTTTAATATTTTTTTCTGCACAGAGACTAGGGTGTTGTGTAAACTAGTGAATTTCTTAAAAGCAAATCAAAGATTAAAATGTACATATAGTTGTAACATAATGGTGACAAATTAGTTTCTTTAAATGCTGGCTTTGCTATTGCTTATGAGGAGATGCAACTGCAGTGTTCAGTTTTGTTATGAACTCAGTCCATAACCATGAAATACTATGTACATATCGAGTGTGATAAATCAAGTTTAAGCATCACTGCAAAACATCTACATTTCTGTTTAAAAAATTGTAATAATTTGATTACTGTCTAAGCCATTGACCTTCAGCATTACAAACCAGCAATTTGAAGAAAAAGGTCAGCGCTTTCATCTTTAAAATTATCTAAATTCCATCCACAACAAAAATACTAGAGAGCTATGGTTTCTAAAGTAGAGTTCCTAGCCTACATCCTATAAACTTCAAAATATGAATAATTATACATATTCACATGCACTATAAATGGAAAGGTAAGAATTCTTCAGTCTGTGATAGCTAATACTGGTCTTCAAAGCTAGGCTGGGGGACTGCCAAGTTGTCAGTGCAGAACATTACGGTTTCTACTTTCTGTGCTGTGCTTCTGTGTATGTAGAGGTTTTGTAGCTCCCATTATTTCCACATCTTCAAAGGTAGATGGCAGTAAGATTATGATATTTGTGGATGGTTCTCCTTAGATATTTGCCCCCCACCCTGTGCCTGCAGGTTAGACATAGTGCTAAATCTGCTTTGATGCTCAAATAGGAGTATGATAAAGATATGACTAGCTTTCTACTTGCAGTGTTTGCTTGGTTGATACTAGTCTAGTGATTTTAGGAGTGGGCTTCACTGGAATAGTGACAGACCCATAATCATCACTTGGAGTGGTTGTAGAACCTGCATCTTGGAACCAATTGCAAAAGTACCTTGCAACTTATAACACCTTTGCATTTGTAGAAGGTTTATTTTTACTATCCATTCTGTTGCGCGCTAGTCTTCTCAGTTGGTTACTTATAGGAAGTGCAGTAGTATGCATTGGAAAAGCTTTTACTAGTAAACAAACTATTTCAGTACCACTTGAATCTTTAATTCTCTTTAGAACTGGTTGATACGGTGCATACAAAATGCAGTGTCCTTTTACATATGTGTGCTTGTATACGAAGTGAAAGGGAGAAGTTTTGTATACTGTTAATTTGTACAGTCTAATCTCTGAAAAATAGAATAGTGTGATAATTCGAACAGTTTTCACCTTTTGAACCAGAAAATTGTTAAGGTGTACAAGAACAAAAATTCTTGCTTGTTTTTTTGCTAGTTCAGATGCTGTAATTAAAGAGAATAATGCTCAGCTGGGATGCAAGAAAATGTGGTATTGCAAATCTTGGCTACTCTTACTGAAATTGAGATTTTAATTAAAATACAAGTTTAGGCATCTTATTAATAAGACTAGAATATATTTATTAGGTGTTTTGGATTTGTTTTTATTCTTGTTAACTCAACACTAAACTTGGAATTGTGAAAAGCTTTTTATTGAAGAACTAAGTGAAACCAATTAGAAAGAGTACAATTCTTACATTTCAGAATTTTGTATTCTGACTACTTAGAGTACAGTTCTTCAGAATTTTGTATTCTTACAATTATAAGAAGGAATAAAGAAAGGAATAAAATCCTGGCTAAAGAGTATAGTTGGAAAATCTAGATATGGCTGCCAAGAATTTCTTATTAGAGCCCAATTTGAGCTTTATGATATAGATATATTTAGTTAAAAATGATGCTTGAAAAAATTAAGGGGAAGTAGAGAAGAACATATGTTCTTGATGGTTATGTCATAGACCAAAAAGATTTGGACTGTAATTTCATGTGATCTCTTGCAGTCTTACAAATCTGTTAAGTGAGTCACACTTACTTCTACTTCTCTGTCTTAATATTTTGCATCCTAGATGGTCTACTGGTAGGCCTCTGTCTTGTATTTTTGAAGAAGGTATGTTTGGATTGCCATTTGCTAGCTGTTAAGTTTTTTCTTATTGCATGTTAATCTGACATTTCGAGATAAATTTCATGATAGTTTATCTGTGTTTTGGTAGTTGGAGCTGGAAGAATGCATGGAAAAACTAAAGGAAGAACAGAAAGCTAGAGTAAAGGCTGAGGAACGATTACTAGAGGTAAAGATACTTAACGATATTTACTTTTAAAGGAGGCACTGCTCAGAGAATGCACTTGCTTAGGGGTAATTATCAATGACCGCTGATGTGTTAGCTTCCAGATTTTCAGTTCAAAGTCACGTGGATCGTTTACTGTTCTTAAGGGCAGTGATGAAATCTGTGTTTAGTAATGTTTGTTCTACTGATTCTGTTCCAGAGCCTTGAACTCCAGCTCAAGCTACTCTTTCAATGTGTTTTATTCATTTTCTGAAACACTTATGATCTGGGACATCCTGACACTTGCTTTTCTCAAGAAAGTGATTAAATCTATTTGCAGTATGTACACATAGATAGTTCTTTGTCTCCCAACTCACTAACCATGACTTGTGCTGAAAGCTGTGTTGCAACTGTTGTTCAGTTTGGTTTATTCTGTACCTTTGGTTTTTAAGTCTTATTTCTGCAGGCATTAACCATATTGGATGGTTTTCTGCATGTCACTTGTTGTGAAGTGCAGTTCAGCTTTGACAAAACTGAACAACTTATCACAGTTGAATTGTGAGGTCTGTTTCCCCTCTGCTGTTGCTGACCTAAAAATATTCTTCTGCATGAATAAACAGAATTTCTTGTAATATAGTTGAGTGTAAGGTAGTGTAAGCAAAGGGATTTAGTCCTTACATGTGATTTGGAGGGAAGTGAAAGTGATATCCTTTGAAATATGAGCAACAGGTGATACCACACAGCAGATACCCACAAAGAACTCCCCACTTCTCAAAGACAGATTGTAGCCCTCTTGTGTGACTATCCCCATCTTCCTGTAATGTGATGTGCACCAGTAGGCTCTGCTGCCTGTCTGTTTTTTAGATCCTTAAAGGCTTTTTAGGCTGAACACCCCCTACAAGAAATCTTCCTCTGTCAAGGCTAGGCTGGTTGGATTTAGCACCTTGAACCAGGAGATGGAATAAAACAAGTAGCATTAATCTCTAAAAGTGTTTATTTTGTTACTTACTTATCACCTACAGTGCACTACCCAATCTGTAATTTTTTCATCCTCTCATAAAAAATACAAGACAGAAAGCCTGTGGTAGTACTTGATTGCATAGCTGTAATCTTCAATGAGTGAGTTAATGCTTCCCTTGAACACAAAACCTTGTATATCTTGTAGTGATCACGCAGTCATCATCAATTTGATTACTGGTCGTTGTGGAGAAAGATTGAATAATCTTAAACTTTCAGTTTTGGGATGCACAGGGCAGGGGAGAGTTAACAGTAGTATACATAGTGCCTCCAATATAGAGGGGTGAATATAAGGAGGGCGTTGGCCTTCATTAAAGTTTTTAATAGTAAAATAAATTCTTTGGTGTTAACATGTCATATAATAACTACACAGTAAAACAATATGGAAGCTAAATTTTTCCGCTTGTACTTGATCTGTAACATCCTGTACATATTGAAGACAGTGCTAAGCCAGTGGCTTTGAGTGCCTGCAGGAATATCTATGGAAGCACAGAACTGCAGCTGTGGATAAGCAGACCTGCACAGAGCTCATGCAACAGTGCCCTGAAAGTGTGTGGTACAGCAAACTCTGTATCTTGTTACATCAGTTATGATGCTACTGTTTAGGCACACAGGTGAGGTTTGATATTTTGGGGTCTTTTAAACTGAAAATGAAAGAAATTTCTTTTTTTTTTTCCCTGCATAGCTGGAAATTGAAAATGCAAGATTAAGGAGTCTAAATATCTCCCTATCCGAGGTTCTTCATGCACAGTCAGTAACCAACATGATTTTGGAAGATGAAGGTGTTCTAGGCAGCATTGAGAACTCTTTTCAAAAGTTTCATGCTTTTTTAGACCTCCTTAAAGATGCTGGGTAGGTTGTCACTTTTAGTCTTGCTGTTTTTCCTGAGATCTTTTCAAAATTATCCTCACAATGAAGTATGCTGCCTGCTACCGTGCCAGATTTCTAGGTGTGTACTCTGAGAGAGCAAAGGAAAATAAATTAGCCATTTTTAAAATAAATTACCTATTGTTTAGTCTCTTCCTAGTGGCAAAGGCATGATCTAAATACTGTTCAGCTAAGATGCTATTCATGCATCTGTCTTTGGGAAAGGCTTTCAAGAAGCCTATTCCAAAACAGTAGAAAGCTTCTATTAAGGTGTGTTTCCAAGTCTTTAGTGAATCATCTTTGGCTCTTAACATTCCCAGGCTCAAAATGAAAGGCTCAAAATGCAGTTGAACTGCCTTCAGAGTGTCCTGTTACCTTGTGCTGTCCATTCACAAATTGAAGTATAGAAATCTACATGGGATTTGTATCTCCAGCCTTTGTATTTTAAGTCTATTTATTGTTACTAGTAGTAGTAATAGTAGTAGTAGTAGTAGTAGTAGTAGTAGTAGAGAAAATTGATTAAAGTTTGTATTACCACTGTATCTGCAATTTGTCAGAGGATGGTTCATCCTTCCCATTTTTCAAAGAATTTCAGCTTGAACCCAGCTTGTAAAGTTTGTATGACCAAGCATGGTAGTCTCATCCACAAGAATGGAATTATATGAATATGCATTGTAGTCTACTTTGTGAATTCAGAGAAGATCACAGAAGATTTTATTTGCCCTCCCTATCTCCCACTTCCAAATTGTAGTGATATAACTTGGGACCTAAGTGACAATGGCCTCAAGTTACGCCAGGTGAGGTTCAGAAGGGACATTTAGAAGGGACATAGAAAAAATTTCTTCCCTGAGAGTGTGGTCAGACATTGGAACAGGCTGCTCAGGGATGTGGTGAAATGGCCGCCCCTTCAAGTGTTCAGAAAACATCTTGATGTGGTGCTTAGGGGACATGGTTTAGTGATGAACCTAGCAGTGTTAGATTAATGGCAGGACTTGATGATATTAAGAGGTCTTTTTCAACCTTAATGATTCAATGATTTTCAACCTTAATGATTCCATGATACAATGATTCTGACTTGCTGTAAACTTTACCCTGAGGCTGTGTTTTAATTTTTGTGACAATTGGTATGTAGAGTTGCCATTACTACAGGAGTTTCAGATTTCTCAGGAAGGGAAAAATGCATTTTCACTCCATGAAAAAAATTTCTTTATATCAGCCCTATGTCTATTCATAGTAAATAAGGAGCTTCACTGAGCATTACAGGATCCCAGTCATGAAGAATGCTCTTCTCAGTAAGCTTCTTTTTATCATATGCTATGCTATTAGTTAATGATTGCAACTTTCCACTTTTTACTGCGGCTTAAAACCCACATGTGATTGGTTTGGCCAACTTACAAGCTGGCAGATGACCCAACATCATTGTATTTGTGAAGCTTGTCATTGACATGTTAAGAGATTATGCTATTTGGAGATGTGCACCAATTTCTGCTTGAATGGACAGAGTTTTAATCTTTGTTCTGCCTGACATGGAATCTCATTGCCAGTATGCTGCTCTGAGCTAACTAGAGAGCTTCATTCTCAGCCTTGTAACACTTGTTTTGATTCTGCAGGCTAATTATGCAAAGTCAAGAAAATACCTTCAGCTGCTTGTTTTTGTCTTAGTTAAGATACTCTGAGCTTCACTTAAAGTAATAGAAAACTATGTTCAAAGCTTTAACAGATTCTACTTCTGATTTTGAACATTTAGTCTTTCAAAAAGTAATAATAATTTGTGTGATTTTATATTAAACATTTATCTTACAGCCTTGGACAACTTGCTGTATTAGCTGGGATAGACCAATCAGATTTTGGTATTTTGGGGCATCCACAAATGAATGCTACTCTCAGTAAGCCTGTGAACGTGGTAAAGGAGAAGTCTTTTGAAGAAGAAAGACAGGAACATACTGAGAATAGCAAAGTAAGTCTTTATAAGGAGTGCTAGAGGTGATTCTGCTTTATACTCTTTAATGTACTTTTTAGCTGTTAATCCCCCTCTGATTCATGAAGTTATTACTGGAACCCTTTGCTGTAGCTGCATTTATACAGATCATAATAATTCAGTGATTAATGTAAGCTTTTAAAGTGTTTACCACTAGGAGCACAAACTGCAGTATTTTGTAATGTATTAAGCTTTGGTGGTAATTCTGTTGTTTCCTTGTCTGAAATAGGAAGTTCCAGTAGTGGAATGCATCCATTCAAATTGGAAAATACCATGATAAGGTTTCTTAGAAACATTTAATAATGAAGTATAGTGTTTTTAAGAACCCTGGTCTTAGAGGAGAGGCTATACAATGTACCTACTGAAAATCATAAATTATCTTGTAAGTAATAATAGTGTATATGTCCAGTCCTGATAGATTTCTCTGTGGCCATGACATGAGCTTCAGGCAACTACAAATTTGTAATATTTGTAAATATTGCATGAAGTTTGAGGTTCTACTCTGTGAATTGATAGTAAACCTTGAGTATTTTTCAAAGGTGATATTAAAATTCATGTAACAAAGAAAAAAACCCAGGCTTTTTAAAAGGCTGTTAAAAATTTAGATACTGGAGGCCTATAGCTATGTCCAAGTTGAATAAAACTGTTGTACCAAGAATCACTCTGCATTCCAGTGTGTTTCTTATATCCAAAGTCTTCCACTCTAACTCTTTTAATTTCCTCAAGAACACGAGATCCTTAAATGTAATGTTAAAAATTTGGGAGTTGTTTTAACAGTGTGGAGAGAATTTCCAGTTTTGCAGTTTGAAGACTCTTGTTCTTGCCTCCCAATACTGGTGATTAGTTTGGGTTCTTGTAGCAGCTAGGTGTTGTGGTATAGAGTGTTGAGACTACACTTCTGTGAATTGCTAGTAAACATAAGGAATTGCAGGTGTCTTGGGATGGTAGATGTGATTAAGTTTTGGCTGCTTTTGTGTAACTGATGCACCTCTGGTATAAATTTGAAGCTAGATGTGAAACTGTAATGTGCCTACTCTGTGTCATTATCACCCTAGCAATCTTCAGAAATCTGTTTTGAAAGGTGATAAAGATTGTTCAATGGCTATTACTCTGTGTCTTACCTATATTAGGTAAAGACTGTATTTTGCTCTGCAGACTCCAGTATATGTGGCAGTTGCAAAACTGGCTTTTTTTTTTCTTTTTTTTTTTTTTCCCTCTCCTCTAGTTGCCTGTCTTTTCATTGGAATCTTTTGTTTCAGAACAGAGCTGGGGACATTCAACTTCCTCTTCCTGGCACATTTCAATCCCAGATGGTTGTGAATAATGCCTTTTCATCACTTAAAGAAATGAGAGAACTTCAGGCTGCTGGACAGCAGTACCAGCCAGGTTTGTGGAGGGAAAATGAAGCTCAAACAATTAACCCAAATAAAGAGAATAAGCCTCGAAGTAGTACTCCAGTATTATCTGAGAGCAGAGTCAAACAAAATGACCAAGCAAAAGGACATCACTCAGCAAGGCAGTTGGCTACCGGTCTGCATTCATTTGCTGATTCCAGTGTACAAATTAGAAGTGATGATAGCACAATATCCAGTGGTATTCCTGGTGAAAAAAGCAAAAATTATTCCTCTAAGAAACACATTCCTCTAGCAAATGAAACAGCAGCTCCAAGTAACAGTGTGAGAGGAGACAAAAGTAGACTGCAGATAGTTAATGTTAGCTCTGGAACTGATACTGTAGGATCTGTTTCTGAAATACAAGAAAGTATACCAAGTGTTAACAGCATTTGAAGTGGTTCTAAAATGTTTGAACTGTTCTTTACACTTGCAAGATTATGTTTTGGATGTCTCAGTATAATTAGTGAATTTTTTGTAAGGTTTTGTAGACTTTGACTTTTTAAAGCATTGCATACTGCTCAGTATTCCTGTTTCATGCTTGCATTCTTTGTCACTAGATTTTTAGTTTTGAAAACATGTGATACAGCTAAAATGGTACCCATGAGTTTGTACTACACATGAGGGACTCAACATACGGATTCCATTATCACAGATTTTTGAGCTAATAAAGTTAATTTGAGTACAGTTTTTTCCTAGTGTTTATTTTCAGTGTATTTCAGTGGGAGTGCAGAAATGGTTTTGGGGCAAACATCAATTCCTGCATAACAGTGTGTGGGTATGACATTCTGAAAATTAGTGGAAGTTTCAGAGTCAAAAATGAGCCCAGAAACATTGCTCTAGGAAACCTTTAAATACAGCCATCATTAGTGGTATGACTGCAGATCATAGAATAGCACATGCTGGAAGGGGCCTCTGGAGGATGTGTAGTCTAACTCAGATTGCTCTCAGGACCTAGAGGAATGTGAGAATGTAAAACTAAGAGAATTATCACTGTTTTAAAACTCTAGGATTTAGCCCCAGCATCTTGTTCTTGTCCTTGTGCACAGGCAGCTGGTTTGCTGCTTCTGAACTAGAATATACTTATTACATACAGGAACTAGGCAGGATGATTTAGACTGAATGGAGAGAAAAAGAGGCTGTAACTATTTTTTACTCAGTCATCTGCTATGTGATTTCTGGAACACATAGGATCTGTAGAAATTACTGACTCCAGTTGCTTGACAAATATGAAAAAACTCATGAATCCTCAAATTCAATCCTACAGAGCAAATAGCACAAGATTACTTAGCTATTGCAGTATTGCACAAGTAATTGCACAATGAAAGTATGTTCTTTGTACAGACTTTGTCACTTCAGAATATTAGAAGGTAATATATTAATCTGTTATTTTTCACATATTTTCCCAACTGCTTGTCTAATTTTTCAGTCATTCTTTGTGATTTTGGTCTGACTAAACAATTACTTGCAATCTGTAATATTCAGCAGTAAAAAGCTACCTATTCCCTTTTTTAAATCTAAAATTCTAAAGCTAATCACTGAGAAATGCTGGATAAAATTATAAATTCAGAAGTGTTTTATTTGTGAGGTTAGGAGTTAGGAATCTGTTACTTGTCCCTAAAAATACCATGAAGAACTTAGAATAATTTATATATTACATGCCCAAAAGCAGGTGATATTTAATATCTTTCATGTTAAATACTTGCTTTTCAATATTTGCATTTAGAGTGTGAATTACGTCAAAAATCATCTTTTAAAGCAAAATTGACCAGGCAGTTTGCAATTTAGATGGGCATACTTTTTTTCAGTGGATTAATACTTAACCTTTTTTTTCCTGTCAAATCAGAAACACGAAGGATTCTTCATGTTACTGCTGCTATGGTATTGCATTCTCACTGTAAGAATCTGTACTGCATACTTTATATATAGTTGGATCTGAAATTGGCAGAGACAATGGATTGAAGTGCCTGGGGAGAAGTATTCTTTTTGAGGCTGTCATGAATACATCAGAACATCCAAGTTTTTTTCTAACAATTTAAAAACTCATTTACAAAAAGCATTTTACACATATAAACTTATATAAATTTATATATATTTAACAATAAAGTATTCTAATAAAAAGTAAAAATATTTTTATTTTAAATTTTTAGGAAACCATTTTCTACCCTGAGTTGGAATAGAAACAGTTTCATTCTCTTGCTATTAGTTAATGTTTTACATAATTGTCTGTATTCTTGTTTGACCGAAAAGCTTGAAATCAATAGGTAACTATTTGCTAGAGAACATGTTACTGTTTACTCATAAAGCTCAATAATTTTTTTCACTTAGTCTTCCCAAGACCTACTCTTCACAGTTCAGGACTGCAATCTCTGAAAAACAAAATAGCCCCAAACCGTTGTTTGAACCACCAAAGTGTAAGATTTCACCAGAATTTGCTCATCTCACTAGTTTGCTGGACCAGACATCCCAGCTGCCTCCTGAAATGCTTGCCAGGTTGCTATGTAGTCAGCATTATTTATCTTTTAATAATGACGTCCATTTGTGGTACCAGACAGAGAACTCATGTATGTGTGCTCTCCTTGAGTGAGCTGATTCTTTTCCAGCAGTAGTTGATCAAGGTTTTGCTGTCCAGCATAACATGAAGTCACAATGAACCTAATAAAAGTTCACTGAAAACTCTGAAAACTTACTTACACTTTTAATCTGTCTTGTTTTTCCAGTTATGCATCATAGTAAATACTGCTGTCTTTGCTTTTGTGTTAATTGCACAAATCCAGGTTCATCTGAATGGACTGATGGCACTTGAAATTGTGGCACTTGAAATTCTCAGTCAAATGGTAGAAATCAAAAGCATTCCTGGAAATCGTGGTTTTGAAAGCTTATATTGGATGACTATGAATATTGGTATGATTCCATGATGGAATTCATGGGTTTTGATGTAATTAAAACATGAAATCATAACTGCTGCTAGCAAAATACTAAAATAGGAGAAATCTCAATCCAATACAAGCAAAACTGTAATGAGACCTGTATTATTTCTCTTTATTCTTTCCATTTGCAAAAGCATAATGATCCTTTGTCCACAGCAAAAATTTCACATTTATATATTCTTTCCAATTTTATATGCTTCCCATCAATGCACAGTATGAAGAGGGTTTTCTAAAGCTTCCAGGTGACAAGGCTTCCAGTGGAGTTGTCCTCTGATCTCGTGGGAGCTGCTATTTTTGACTCTTCTGGTCAGGGTAAGACTTCTGTGAACTGAAAACTCCAATACTGGTATTTCCACCAGTGCTCTTAGCTGATAGCAGCAGTAGCTTGCCTTGTTTCTATTTTCATGTTCTAGCTCTTTGTGCCAGCATTTGAAGTACATTTTTAACTCCAAAGTTTTAATTTCCCTTGTGCCACACACAAGGGCTGATCTGGCGGGATGTTGAAGCACTTTCTGTAGTAGTAGGCAGGCTTCCTGACCTGAATCCCCAATCTACACTATTTCTGACTACTTCCACTACTCCTTACTACCTTGGATACCATTTTCCTAGCCAGACTGGAGTTTTAAATTGCTTCTCTGGGCCTACACAGGTGCTTTAGATTTAATACTGAAAAAAGCCCATATGAGATGCCTGTATCTTTTGATCTTGCTTCTACCTAGAGACACTAGTAAAAATAATTAAATTTTTAGTCACATCTATGTTGTTACTAAGCATCTCAGTAGTGGTTTCTATTTACTTATAACTAAGAAGTAACACAGTTGTTCTTGGTATTGTGATGTGAGACATACTTTAAAAATACCTTGGTGTTTTAAGATAATGTATACAGCCTGTGTCGTCTGTGAAGTTTGCTATTATCTCTTAAGAATTCTGGTGTCTGAAAGCAATTTTGATAGATTTTTCTTAAGCTGTAGCTATCATTGAAATGAAAGTTATCTTTGCTCTAATACCAATGTTTCTATTTACAATTTTTTAAACAAAACAACTTCCTTAAGATGAAAATCTTTCAACTAAATACCAGATCAGGATGTGGTCTATAAATTCTTTTTGTGGTTCCAGGTATCACCTGGCTTGACAGGAAAAGGAACAAATTCACATAGTCAGTATTTCTTCAGTGAAATAATTGGTAATGAAAAATGGTATTTTATATACATCTCAGAATTCACAAAATAACAGACATCGATACTTGCAGTTTTCTCTACAGATGATTAATGTTGATGATTAGCTTGGTGAACACCCATGAGACTAAAACAGGGCCAGTGTTACAGGAAAGGACTGGGCAATCTAATGTGTTCAAGAGCTGTGCTTTATGCAACTACATATGAGAATTGTGAATCTTGCCCAAGATACTTGGAAATTATGGGGCTGTGTGATGCCCATCTCTTTTCAGTCATACTTCATGGCTTGCTTTGTCAAAATTGGTTTACTGCTACTGCCTTTAAAATCACTTTGAAAACTGACCTGGGCAGAATGTCTCTGCCTGAAACAATCAGAAAATGGAATGAGTTAAAAGTCTCTTTCTCTCAATTACAACAAGTTCAGTTGTATTACCTCTGTGTTTTCAAATAATTAAGATGCTGCAGATACGTTCCATAGATACCTAAGGGAGAAATGCTTTAGTATTCAGGGCCATTAACCTAGGATTTGTCAAACCTCAAGGCAAGTCCAAGCTATACTATCCATTATGTGAAGGTGATCAAGTTTCACAGCTCTTCTGTTTTTACTCTCTATGGTGAAATTCAAATAGCAATTTGCCTGCAACAGACTTTCTGGGGAAACTGCATAACATGCGGACACTTGTTGGCTTATAGAAGGTGGGGATCCTCCTCCTCTACAAGGCAAGTGGTTCACACAAAATATTAGATCTGGGTACTGTAAACCCATCTCTTTCAAGATGAGTCACAGAAATGGTCTGGTTGGATAAAGTGGGTGATCTCCAGCTTCACAGCTTTATCAGGGACGTACAAGAATACATTGCACAGGATTGTACCTGGGTGGTTCTTAAGTGTCTCCAGCGAGGGAGACTCCACAACCTCTCTGGGCAACGTGTTCTAGTGCATGGTTACTTGCACATTTAAGTTCTTAAGGTAAATAAGGTGGAACTTCTGTACATCAGGTTCTGTCCGTTGCCTCTTGTCGTTTCATATGAAATATGAAGGATCTCCTAAAATTCACTGTACCTGTGGGTCGCTGCTTTTTAAGTCCTCACGCATTCACCCAGACTGCTGTTGGAACAAGCATCCCAGCGTTGCTACAGCACCCGCGTGGGGGAAAAGCACAGGCAGGAAGTTACAGTAGGACGTGCATTCATCGTGTGTGTGTGTGTGTGTGTGTGTGTGTGTGTGTGTGTGTGTGTGTGTGTGTGTCTGCGTGTCTGTGTCTGTCTGCCCGCACGCCCACCCAGCGTGGGCGGCTCGTGCGCGCTGCACCCGCCAGGACTCGCTGTGCTGCCCGTGCGGGGCTCGCCACTGCGGGCACCCCGCCGAGCGCCGCGGGCATCCCGGCCCCTCACAGCGCCTCCCCTCCCCTCACAGCGCCTCCCCTCACAGCGCCTCCCCTCCCCTCACACCGC